GGCAGGAGGAGTAGAGCTGGTGGGTGTTGAAGTCAAATACTTGAAAACCATCTTGAACCAGATGATCTCCATGGTATTTTCCAACTCAAAAATTCAATGTAGCAATATAGTAGGCACAGTTCAGCTCAGGAGTTGGGTGGAGTGAGGAAAAATACAGACTCTAGAATCCCATTTCCCACTCAGAATGTTTAGTCTATGCTCATGTTTAACTACAAGATATAAAGAATCTTCAATGAAATAGTAAAGTATTTTCAATCCATTCATCAAGGCAATCAGATCTATAATTAGCTGGTTTATGAATACAAATTTCCCTTTTAAACCAGGCAGGAACTAATGGCACTCGCTAGAAATAAATATAACAATAACCATTTCCAATATAAAGTCAAATTCCAGCTTTAAAAGACAAAATCAGATTACTGTTTCAAAATTGTTTTGGTCCATTATGAAAGAAAGATGCCAAGTATTAGATTATTAAGAGCAAAATGTTAATGGATTTAAGAAGCCAAGCCTTCAGTTAATGGGAAATATAATAAAATGCTGGTCTCATACTGCTATCTATCTCATCTAATCTTCAGTGGTGATGGACAAAAAGTAGGGTCCAAAGCTTTGGGCTCAGGACTTTGGGAATGTTCAATTATTTAAGGAAGGAATAAGAATATCAGTTGAAATACCACTATCTAATAGTAATAAATCATTCACATGCACATGCTTCCTTCAAATTTCAATGCCTTGCTTTTCAACAAGTTGCTTTTTTGACAGACCTAAATTAGAGCCATACACTACATGATCAACCCCTGGTCGACTCTTTCAACCATGCAGTCTCTTTTCCTCACAGTCTCCTTGGCACTATCTAATGTTCATTCTTGCATTTGTAAGCTAAAAGAGTTTTTGAAGTGCAGTTTTTGAAAGTGCCCAGATCCCTTACTTGTCAAGTAAGAGATAGTAGCATATATATAGAGAGAGAGGGAGGAAGAGGGAGTTTTCAAATGCTGACTTATGGTGACTCTGAGATTTGGTCATTTTGCCTTGCCTCCCTCTGAGGCTGAGAGAGGGTGACTTGCTCAAGGTTCCCAATATGTTATTATCTCGTGGCCGAGACAAGATTCAAACCCTGATCTCCAGAGTTGTAATCTAACATTGAAATCACTGCTGGTGAGAGACAAAGAGAAGGAAAGAGATAAGGAGAGACAGAGACCCTAATGTCTAAGCTCTCTTTTGAACAGGCGGAGTCACAGCATCATCCAGAAGAGTCAGAAGGAACATCAGCAGGGAGTTTGGAAGGAAGATGCAGCATTTGCTTGTTGCAGGCTGCCTCTGACCTCAGCTCCTGGTGCAGAGGACTGGCTTTTTGCAGATTGAGGCCCTGACTGAATGCAAGGTCCCAGCAGAAACACCTGTTTGCCTCCAGAGGCTGGGGGTCAAAAAAGAGGATGCCTGTGGAGGCCAGGTCGCCACTGAAGTGGTGACACCAAAGGGGGTTTCCCCTTTGGGGAGCCACTTCAGGGTGGGAAAGGGCCTGGCTCTTTGCTTGACTGATTTCAGAAAATTAGATGTTCCAGGGCCCTTCTACATAGCCATATAACCCAGAATATCAAGGCAAATAATCCACAATATCTGCTTTGAACTGAATTATCTGAGTCCACACTGTCATATAATCTAGTTTAATGTGGACGTTATACAGCTGTGTTGAAGGGCCCCCAGCTGTTTCTCTGGGTGTCAGCAGACTTTCCTTTTTTAGCAAGGTATCCAGGAAGAAAGGGGAACAAAAGGTTTTACATCAGGCATGGGCAAACTTCACCCCTCCAGGCAGTTTGGACTTCAACTCCCACAATTCTTAACAGCCGACTTTTAGGAATTGTGGGAGTTGAAGTTCAAAACACCTGGAGAGCCAAAGTTTGCCCATGCATGTTTTACATACACAAGGCTCCTGAAAAAAGTAGACAAACGCTTCCACTTTTGTCTTCTGCCTGGCCCATGATGGTGTGTGGTAGGACACATTCTCTGGAAATGTCTGCAGAAGCAAGAGCAAAGTTACCCCATCGGCTGCTGCCTGTACGCAGCCCAGAGAAAGTGGAAAATACTTGCTGGTGTGGGAGAGAGAAAAAAAATCTCTTTCCCCTATCAGAACTCCTTGAGGAAAAAGCTCTGCAGGTGCTGAATGTGTGACTAGCCACCTTTCTCCAAAGGCATCAAACATTTCATGTTTTGGGGTATTCTGGATTTCTGGAAAAGGGAGACTCAATCTTTACCCACTTCTTGCTTCACAGATCTCTTTTTCTCTCTACACACACAAACATGCAGACTATTGAACACTTTTTTAATCTACTAAAAGGGAAGATACCTGAGGAATCTTGACCAAGAGATTTTTCTGTCTGAAGCTAAGGATAAGATGGTTCCTGGTCCAAATTTCATGCGAAGAAGTTGGATGAATAAGCAAGAAAATCTTACTTCAGTGTCCTCCACCAAATGTCAAATGAGCAAGAGGATAAGTTACAGAGAACTGGGCCCAGCAGTCAGGCCTTGTACTCCCGACCCTTTGCTGCAACCTAATAGTAGGAGTAGCCCTCTTTAAAGGGACCTAAAGATGGGCTTAAAGCTAAACTTCTATCTGGAAATGTATGTTCTCAATGTGAAGGAACATGCAAATCAAGTATAGGTCTTCACAGTCATTTATGAACCTACCAACAAGACTCTTCCAAGATTCCCTATTGGAAGAGAATCATACTCGGCCATGAGGGATCACCCATGATGATGATGAGTAGTTCTGACAGCAATCCTATGTATACTTTCTTGTGTAAGAGTAACACAATCTTCCAATATACAGCATTTCAAAATAATGGACCCAATTTCAAAACAATATGTTTACGATGGCAATATGTTATAATTACATTATATACTGCAGTTAAGACTACATCATATGGCAGTGTAAAACCAGCCCAAGCTGTGGGATACAGTTTGGCCCCACTTTAACTGCTATGGCTCAATACTAGGGAATCCTGGGAGTTGTTGTCTGTTGAGGCACCAGCAAAACTACAGCTGCCATAATTTCATGGCACTGAGTGAAGGCAGTTAAAGTGGTGTCAAGCTGCATTGATTGCACAGTGTAGATCAGTGGTTCCCAACCTGTGGTCCGTGGACCAATAGTGGTCCACAAGAACTAAAATATGATCTGCGACCTCACTGTTACTACACCATTGCAATTAGATTGACTGGTCTCACAAAACCCTCTTATTATTAAATAGGGTTTTCTCTGGGTGAGCAAATGGCGACTACTAGATGGCATATCTTCTGTATCAGAAACTAGAGCTGATGTGATCTATCCAATGCAGTTTTCTGAATCAGCACCCCAAATAACCAAACCAAATCTAAAGTTGACCAAAAACCGATTCATAACCCTTTTGGTACTAATGTTGGTGAGTAGTCCCTGGTCCAAAAAAGGTTGGGAACCACTGGTGTAGATGCACTCAAACGACTTCCTCAGCATTTCCATGCAGGAGGTTTGTTCATCTTGCTGGAGCAGAAGGGACAGTCCTAGGATAAACTAGGTCTAACTTCACACACTCCAGCAAAGGATCGTTGTCATGGTGCTGGAGCTTGAGCACCTCATTGACACCATGAGTGAAACCGTGAAGGGATACCCAAGACTGGAAGGTCATGGCAGAGAGGTCAGACTAAATACGATCCCCAGGGAAGGTAATGGCAAACCACCCCAGAATTCTTGCCATGAAGACTAAATGGATCATTACAACCAGAGATAGAGTATTCTCCATAGTAACTTATGGATGAGAGAGCTGGACCATAAGGAAGGCTGAAAAAGGAAAATAGATGCTTTTGAACCGTGGTGTTGGAGGAAAATTTCCATACTCCAGGAAATAATGCCTGACTGCTCATTGGCATTATGAACCTGCTAGGACTTTAAGATCATCGGGGGAGGCCCTGCTCTCGACCCCGCCTGCATCACAAACATGTTTGGTGGGGACGAGAGACAGGACCTTCTCAGTGGTGGCCCCTTGGCTTTGGAATGCCCTTCCTGGGGACATTAGATTGGCTCCCTCCCTCTTAACGTTTCAGAAAAGAGTCAAGACTTAGTTGTTTGAACAAGCATTTGAAAATGCAAGGTAAATGACATAGGAATTGGAATGACTGGACAACGAGACTGGACTATTAGGAGACATAATTTATGTGTTTTTATTAGGAGACATAATTGATGTATGTTTTTAATACTATTGTTATGGTTTTATATTATGCGTTCATGCTTTTAAATGTTTTATGGTGTATTGGGCATCGAATTGTTGCCTTTGTAAACTGCCCTAAGTCACCTGAGGGCTGAGAAGGGTGGTATACAAATAAAATCAATAATAAATATTAGAGGCCAAGATGAAGTACTTTGGCCACATCATGAGAAGACAGGAAAGCTTAGAGAAGGCAACGATGCTGGGGAAAATGGAAGGAAAGAGTAAGAGGGGAAGACCAAGGGCAAGATGGATGGATAGTATCCTTGAAGTGAGTGGCTTGACCTTGAAGGAGCTGGGGGTGGCCACGGCTGACAGGGAGTTCTGGCCTGGGCAGGACCATGAGGTCACAAAGAGTTGGATAGAACTGAACGAATAAACAACAACAAAGCTAAGCTAGGTCAGCCCATTGTTTGGAAATGATAACCCTGTGTTGTGGAGGGGTGCATCTAGACCAGGCATGGGCAAACTTGGGCCCTCCAGGTGTTTTTGGACTTCAACTCCCACAATTCCTAACAGCCTACCGGCTGTTAGGAATTGTGGGAGTTGAAGTCCAAAAACACCTGGAGGGCCCAAGTTTGCCCATGCCTGGTCTAGACTTTAAAATGCATGCAGCTTCACCACTTTAACCGCCACGACTCCATGCTCTAGCCCCCTGGGAGTTGTAGTTTACCGAGGCACCGGTGTTTGGTGGGTCGTTCCTGTGAAGCGTTGAACTTTGGGCAGGTAGTGGGCTTGGCAAGGAAGTCTCCCTCCCTCTGCCTCGGAGCGTAGGGTTCCTCCACTCTCTCAGCTGGACGGATCCACTTTGCGAGAGGGGGAGAAGCCAAAGTCCTGCCTCCTTGAAAAGAGTCTACATTGGATCCTCCCTTTTCCTGGCCCCCCTGGAAAGCTGCCTCGGGGGACAACCCATTGCGTGGAGCGTGTGCTCAAAAGGGAATCCCTTGGAGGCTCTCTTTCTCCTGCGGCTCCCCCCGCTTGCAGTGTTGGTACGGCCCTGCCCCGTCCAGAGGTTTCCCTTTGCCCCCAAGCGAGAGAAGGAGCGACCAAGCGGGCGGGGGCAGGACCTCCAGCTGCCGACGTGAGCGCCGCGTCCTCTTCTCCTGCTTCGGCGACTTCTCCTTTTTTCCTGATGCCTTCGCGGCAGAGAGAAGCCGAGAGTCGGGCCATGCGGAGAGGCGGAGACCCCCAGAGTTTGGCCCCTCTGCCCTGCACCTTGGGGCATGCCTGGTAGAGGCCGGGATGAGGAAAAGCCGGGCGCCCCGGGTGGCCCTGGCCACTTGCCTCGCCTCCTTGCTCCTCGTCCTCTTCTACTTCCAGAGCAGCCCCGACCCAGGTGAGTGACACCTTTTGCCATGGCTCGTTGCATGACGGCTTCTTACTTTGGAGGCTTTTGCCTCACTTTCTGCCTTAGAATCCTAGAGTTGGAAGAGACCTCATGGGCCATCCAGTCCAACCCCCTGCCAAGAAGCAGGAAAATTTCATTTAAAACACCCCCAACAGATGGCCATCCAGCCTCTGTTTAAAAACTTCCAAAGAAGGAGCCTCCACCACACTCCGGGGCAGAGAGTTCCACTCCTGAACGGCTCTCACACTCAGGAAGTTCTTCCCAATGATCAGGTGGAATCTCTTTTCATGTAGTTTGAAGCCACTGCTCCACGTCCTGGTCTCCAGGGCAGCAGTAAACAAGCTTGCTCTCCCTATGACTTCCTCTCACATGGCTATCATGTCTCCTCTCAGCCTTCTCTTCTTCAGGCTAAACATGCCCAACTCTTTAAGCCGCTCCTCATAGGGCTTGTTCTCCAGACCCTTTATCATTTTAGTCGCCCTCCTCTGGACACATTCCAGCTTGTCAATATCTCTCTTCAATTGTGGTGCCCAGAATTGGACACAATATTCCAGGTGTGGTCTAACCAAGGCAGAATAGAGGGGTAGCATGACTTCCCTGGATCTAGACACTAGCTCCTATTGATGCAGGCCAAAATCCCATTGGCTTTTTTTGGCCTCCACATCACATTGTTGGCTCATGTTTAACTTGTTGTCCACGAGGACTCCAAGATCTTTTTCACACGTACTGCTCTCGAGCCAGGCATCCCATTCTGTATCTTTGCATTTTGTTTTTTTCTGCCAAAGTGGAGTATCTTGCATTTGTCCCTGTTGAACTTCATTTTGTTAGTTTTGGCCCATCTCTCTAATCTGTCAAGATCGTTTTGAATTCTGCTCCTGTCCTCTGGAGTATTGGCTATCCCTCCCAATTTGGTGTCATCTGCATACTTGATGATCATGCCCTCTAACCCTTCATCTAAGTTGTTAATAAAGATGTTGAACAGGACTGGGCCCAGGACTTTGGAGGCTGTTGCCTCACTTTCTGCCTTATGGGCTGAGCCTGCCTCTACACCAGGCATGGGCAAACTTACCTGCTGTTCAGAAGTCCAAAACACCTGGAGGGCCCAAGTTTGCCCATTCCTGCTCTTTTACTATACTGTAGATATGAAAGCCTTTTGGCCCCACTTTTCCTGCCCTGGCACAAGGCTATGGAATCATGAGGTTTGTCATTTCGTGAAGCACTAGCACTCTTTGGCAGAAAAGCCTCCAGATGACAAACTACAATTCCTATCACCCCTTAGCATTGAGCCTTGGCAGTTAGAGTGGGATCAAACTGCATACAATTATTCACTGTTTCTCAAGCCTCCAGTGACACAGTGGGTTAAACCGCTGAACTTGTTGACCAAAAGGTTGCAGGTCTGAATCCAAGCAGCGGGGTGAGCTCCTGCTGTTAGCCCCAGTTTCTGCCAACCTAGCAGTTTGAAAACATGCAAATGTGAGTAGATCAATATGTACCACTCCAGTGGGAAGGTAAGGGCACACCATGCAGTCACGTCAGCCACATGACCTTGGAGATGTCTATGGATAATGCCGGCTCTTCGGCTTAGAAATAGAGATGAGCACCAACCCCCAGAATCGGACTGACTGGACTTAATGTCAGAGGAAACCTTTACCTTTTACCTCCCATCCTTCCTAATGCTGCAGCCCCTTAATCCAGTTCCTCATGTTGTGGTGACCCCTAACCATAATATTATTTTCGTTGCTACTTCACAACTGTAATTTTGCTACTGTTAAGAATCTTCATGCAAATAACTGATCAGGATGCATTTTCATTCATTGGACTAAATTTTGCACAAATATCCAATATGCCCAAATTTGAATACTGGTGAGGTTTTTTTTGGGGGGGGGGGGATTTAGGAGTTGTAGTTGCTGGGATTTATAGTTAACCCACAATCAAAGAGCATTCTGAACTCCACCAACAATGGAATTGGACCAAACTTGGCACACCGAACTCCCATGACCAACAGAAAATATTGGAAGGGTTTGGTGGGCATTGATCTTGAGTTTTGTAGTTCACCTACATCCAGAGAGCACTGTGGACTCAAACATTGAAGGATCAGGACCAAACTTGGCATGGCTATTCAATATGCCCAAATGGAAACACTGGTGGAGTTTGAGGAAAATAGACCTTGACATTTGGGAGTTGTAGTTGCTGGGATTTATAGTTCACCTACAATCAAAGAGCATTCTGAGCCCCACCAATGATAGAATTGGGCCAAACTTCCCACACAGAATCCCCATGACCAACAGAAAATACTGTGTTTTCTGGTGGTCTTTGGCAACCTCTCTGACACCCCCTCATGACCTCCCCAGGGGTCCCAACCCTCCAGTTTGAGAATTGCTGTCCTAAAGTGTGATGCATGCCTTGGTAGCAACTCTTATCATGGGGCTGAGAGTGTGTGACTCTCCCCAAATCACTCAGTAGGTTTTTGTGGCTGAGCAGGGGTCCTAGGGTGTATCTAAACCAGGCATGGGTCAACTTGGGCCCTTCAGATGTTTTGCAGCTGAGGGGGAAAAGGAAAGGACCCGAGGCTGTTAATAATGGTGAGAGTTGAAATCCAAAAACACCTGGAGGGCCCAACTTTGTCCATACCTGATCTAATCTGTAGAATGAATGCAGTTTGACTCCACTTTCACTGTTACTGGGAATTGTAGTTTGATTAGGCACTAGCACTCTTTGGCAAGGAATGTGTTGTAAAACCTCCTTTAACCGTAAAAAAATACAAAAAAACCCCTCCCCCACCCCCTCCCCCCCCCCCCCCCCCCCCCACAAAACAGTGACAAACTGCATTCATTCTACAGTTTAGACCAGGAGCTCTCAAACTTTTAAAGTCCAGAGCCGGTTCATGTTGCAGGGCCAGACTCTAGTTTGAGAAAAAAATATGAACAAATCCCTGTGCACACTGCACATATCTTAATGGCAGTGCAAAACAACATGAAAGAACAATACAGGTGCTGGTTTTGACCTACAAAACCCTATACGGTTCCGGTCCAGTGTATCTGTCCGAACGTATCTCCCTCTACGTCCCACCCCGGAGTCTGAGATCATCTGGGGAGGCCCTGCTCTCGACCCCACCACTGTCACAAGTGAGGCTGGTGGGGACGAGGAGCAGGGCTTTCTCAGTTACGCGCACTTTCTTGTACTCGATTTCGTGTAGGGCAGGGAAAGAGAATGAGGAAGGAGGCAGGCAGGCAGGCAGGCAGGCAGGCAGGCAGGAAGGAAGGAAGGAGGAAGGAAGGAGGAAAAGCAGGCAGGCAGGCAGGCAGGCAGGCAGGAGAGCGGAGGGAGCCTGCTGCTGTAAAAGCCGTAAATGCAAGAACAGCAGAGAACAAAAAAAAAAAAAAAAAAAAAAAAAAAAACATTTCTCAGTGGTGGCCCCTCATCTGTGGAACTCTCTCCCGGGGGAAATCAGGGCATCATCATCCCTCCTCGCGTTTAGGCACTCTGGCAATTAAATTAGACAATCAGCAAGTAAGACCAACAGGACTGATGAAATGGAACATAGAACTAGATCTATGAGTTAGCGAACGCTGACCATGTAAGAGGAGAAATTGGGTTTGTATAGGTTTTATTGATTTTAGTAATTTTATGGTTATAATGCATGAACAGTTATTAATTGCGAATTGTTGTAATTGTGTGTATGATTGTTTTATGATGCAGGCATCGAATTGTGCCTTCGCCTTTGTAAGCCGCCCTGAGTCCCCTTCGGGGTGAGAAGGGCGGGGTAGAAGAACCCCAAATAAATAAATAAATAAATAAATAAATAAATATTTAAACTGAAGAACAATTTTGACCAACATAAGCTTACCAGTATTTCTGTGGGAAGGTATGGGCCTACTTTTGGCAAATGAGATAGTCAAGTCAATTAGGATTGTTGTTGTTGTTGTTGTTTTTTGTACCTTCGTTTCAGACTTAGGGTGAAACGAAGTCTTAAGCAGTGGAGAATAAAAACCTGGCTCTAGGACCAGGCCTTATTTATTTATTTATTTTATTTGTATACCGCTCTTCTCAGCCCTTAGGCGGCTCAGAGCGGTTTACAACAGTTTAAGTATACACAATACAAAATCATTAGGCATTTAAAAGCAGTAGCATAAAAAATCATTAAACATCAGCATCAATACATCAGTACATCAATATAACAAATCCATCAGGTCTTATCAATGAAATCAGAATCCAAACTCGTTATCCATTATTCCGTGTTCCGATAATCAGTCAATCAATCACACTGCTTAGCGAATGCCTGTTCAAACAGCCAGGTCTTTACTTTCCTCCGGAATGCCAGCAAGGAGGGGGTCGATCTAATATCTGCAGGAAGGGCGTTCCACAGCCGAGGGGCCACCACTGAGAAGGCCCTGTCTCTCGTCCCCGCCAGGCGTGCTTGTGAAGCCGGCAGGATCGAGAGCAGGGCCTCCCCAGACGATCTTAATGTCATAGTCCTTCTGCATTATATTGCTGTGTGAAAGGACTAGAGCAGGCATCCTCAAACTGTGGCCCTCCAGCTGTTTGAGCCTCTAGCTCCCAGAAGCCCTAATGAGCTTGTTCAATTTTCAGGAATTCTGGGAGTTGAAAGCCCAAACAGCTGGAGGGTCGCAGTTTGAGGATGCCTGGGCTAGAGTATAATTCTAAATGAGTGCCTAGGATTGTGGCCTTGATGGATCACCATTCAATCTATTTTTTAAAATCCCCCTTCATTCATTTAAGAGGAATTCATTTGGGAAACTGGTTGGGTCTTCTCCTGACAGTTAGTTTGGCATGTTATGTTTTCTGAACTGAAGTACACTATGTCTTCATGCCCAGTCTGTGAAAAAAAAAGTTGGTAAGCAAATACCGACATGCTGGGAGATCTTTCTTAAGCCAAATCAAAAAAACAGCCCCCAGGGAATTTACTCAGAAATATTGCATATTTTCAAGCTAAGATCACTCTCCTTATCAATGTACGTTTTTGCAGG